ACCCCTAAACCCTAAATCCTAAACCCCTAAACCCTAAACCATGGTGAGTTGATTTCATGTTGGAGTGTGCGACGTTTGTAAGTTGGTTGCAAACATTCCAGGAGACGCCATTTCAATCATGTAAAAGACCTTTCAAAATAGGATCATCGTGGTATATACTCGATTCTAGGCAGGCCTTTGGGATATTTTTTATTTTCCCTTATTGGGCTTAGTAGGACCCTATTTACGAATATTTTTCAGAGGCTTGAAAGGGCCAACCTAGGATTCCTTTGCTTACGACATTGACCGGCCCTAACCACCAAACTCTTGACAAGTTAAGTGCAACACTTGGAGTAACAGTGCTTCATTTTCAACCCCACACGCCAAGACTTGAAACCCAAACCCTACACCCTGTAAGCAGCTACCTTAGTATCCTAAACCCATAAAGCCTAATCTGACCTCAACCCTAAACTCCCGGTGCAATCCGAAAAAGACCGTCAAATGCTCAATTGCGACAAGCACAACGCAACTTTTGTCAGCTTCTCGGTCACCCTAGACAGACACAAAAACAATACGCGAACATCAAGGAACTGATATGAATTCAAGAAGCAACACCAAATCGGGAGAAGCCGAAGCAGCATTCCCAAACATTGGTCATGTAGATACACACTCCAAGTACCTACACACGAAACAATGTACATAGTACTTTCAATCACCTTGTTTTTCTTACCTGGTAGAAGCCCGTAAAGGTCTGGCAAAACCCTCAACCCTAATCCCTGAAACCTTAAGCACCTAAAGCAGGGCGAAAGCGAAGCAGGTGGAGACATAGCTGAGGCAGCATCGTGCTACAAGCTGTTGGGTTCGTTAGTGATCGTTCCCAAATTAATGTAGGAACCTGATCAAGAAACCCTGCCCCTATAGCCCCAAAATAGTAGGATCCATATAAGGAACCCCAATAAAGGCACGAGGTTTCTTCATCAGTTTCCCGAATCCGTGGCGTTAAGGCCGTTAAGGTTTACGGTTTCGGGCCTTCGGGTCTATTTCCTGCAAGGGTCGCGTTAAGGGTTCTATAGGATTGTTTAGGGTTGCTTCAGAGTCTAGGCCTTACCAGTTGCCGAATTATACAGGGTTTAGGGTTTAGGGTTTAGGGTATACTATTTTGGGGTTCCTTTTTTAGTTGTCGTATGATGGGCCCCAAAACCCTACTCTAGTTATGAAGGACCCTGTATCAGGTAGCTAAGCTGCCTTTGAAGCCCCTAGATAATTCTACTATCCCAACCTTAAAGGGGTCCCTATGTCGGTACTTTCAGGCGGCCCTAAGTATGTACTAAAAGGGTACATGGAACCTTAGGGTATGCAGTTTACCGTGCGGCGCCTTCCAAGGGAAACAATTTCCTGAACCCTACCTATAGTTTCAACCCTGCCTATAGTATCCATTGTAGTTGTTTTTTGGTTAACCTGCTTTATGGTCGGGACCCTACAATAGAGATTTTGCTTAACCAAAAAAACGAACTACAATGGAGACTATAGGTAAACTTCATGGGATGTTTTGAGGACTGTGGGGGTTTTTGGGCTCAGGGTGGCATACGAGAATGAGACCAACAAAAAATGCATTTGGATGGCTTCAAAGTACGTATAAGAAATGAATTTTAAGGGTGCTATGTATTGTTATGGGGGATACTCTCCTAAAGTCATAATAGTACTCCTAATATGGAAACCCTACATTCTACGATATCGGTACATAGGACCCTTTGGGCCAGACAAGCAGAACAAGGTGCTGCACTTCAGGGTCTTTCTAGAGGCAAGCGCATGGGGTCGCGAAGTGGGGGGGAGCTTGCGTGTTGGGCATAGAGTTGTCGATTCAGGGTTCAGGGTTTATCTGCTCCGTGCCCATGTCCCATGTGTCTTTGTGAGGGATGTTTGGGGTTGAATTTTGTAGTTTCGAGAGCCTCAAACCCCTAAGTTGGCCTTAAACCCATTCACACTGTTGCAGGTTGTATGAAGCTGCCTCTTTCAGACAACTGCAACCCTAAACCGAAAGCTGTATGCCACCGCCAGAAACGAAAGCCTGAAAATCCTCGCTTCGTAGTATACGTGCCGTTCGAAATTCCTGAAAAACAGTTTCGAGGGCAGGGTGCCTTCTTGCTGGGATCCCTTGAGTCACTCCAAGCAGATATATAAATCAAGGAAACCTCAAGCCCCAAAACCGCATATAACCTAAACTCAAAGCTAAAAGCCTTCAACTTAAACGCTACACCCGAACGCTCCATGTACCCATATAAGTACATACCTAGGGAACCCAAGGAGCCCGAAATTCTGATACTAGCCCAAAGGGTCCTATGTACCGACATAGTAGAATGTGCGGTTTCCATTTAGAAACTACTATTACGACTTAGGAAAGCATCCCCCATAACAGTACATAACCCTAAACCCTAAACCCTAAACCCTGATCTGCAGAAGGAAAAAGGTGCTTAAAAAAAAACCTAAACCCTAAACCCTAAACCCCTAAACCCTAAACCTTAAACCCGTGCAAGGAGACGCGGCTTGTGGACCCCGACGCTCCTTCCCAGCGCGCGGTCTCCAGCACTCTCCTCAGCTCGTGGCTTCTGAGGACACGGCTACTTGGAGGGTCGGGGGACCCAGACCTTCCAAAATCCTTTAATTAAGGAATATACCTTAAGCCTTAAGTCATATTAAGGATCCTACTATAATTTAAGGTATATTCCTTAATTAAGGGATTTTGGAAGGTCTGGGTGAGGACACGGCTACTTGGAGGGTCGGGGGACTTAGTAAGTAGGTAGTAAATAGACTTATGAGTACCCTACACGGGACCTTAATTGGGGTTATGGTACTTATAAGTCCCTAAAATAACCAATTACTAAGTCCCCCGACCCTCCAAGTAGGGTGTACCCATAGACCCCAAAGTAGTTCTTTTTGGGGGTTAGCTTATAGGATTCTAAATATGAACCCCAAAAAGGAACTACTATGGAGCCTCTAGGTAGGCACGGTGTAGGTGTCCCGAAACAGCACCTAATCTTCCACACATCCCGAACTTTACCAAAATCCCAAACCCGGGCTTCTGTCTTAACGACCCCGTTTATTGCGCATACCCTTTTTCATAATGGGTTACGTTGGGCATAGGCAGGGGTTTGGCATTAGGGTTTGGGTATCTAGGAGTTTGCAAAGCTCTTGTAGTAGCTTCATTAGCTTATGGTTTAAGATTTGCGGAGTGCAATGTTTATGGATCGTGATTTAAGTGTAGTGGTTTTGCGAGCTTGTGAGGCCTTTGAGTCTGGAAAACATGGCAAACATTTCGTCCACAAAGCCCTGAATATAAGCCTAACCCATATCCTTTTAGGGTTCCCTCAGACGTTCATGGTATGGCAAGCCAAACCTCCGCCTGATTCTGCGGGCTTCTGGAAAGTAACCATGGCTTGGGGTTTAGGGTGAGGGGCGGAACTGCCATCAGTTGAAAACCGTCAAAGAACTATGCAAAGGAACCTATAAGAACCTCTTTGAGCCTGGCTTTGGGATTCTCAGAGGCCTTAAAACCCTGAATCGTGGGCATGTCGGCTATGTTAAGATAAGTTACGGCGCTAGGGCCCGAAAACCCCACACCCCGTACCTTCAAGCTCGAAACCTTTCAGACCCCAAACCCCTCCGTGAACCCCTCACCTTTAGTCCCTAAACCCCCCCCCCTCCCTAAGTCGCAGGCAGCGATCGAAGCGACAGGCCGCGCCCGCCTCTGACTTTGGGCAAGGGGCAAGGCTTCCAGACCTTCCAAAATCCCTTAATTAAGGAATATCCCTTAAGTTATACTAGGATCCTTAATATGATTTAAGGTATATGCCTTAATTAAGGGATCTTGGAAGGTCGGGGCTTTGAGCTCTAAGAGCCTTCCTGCGGCCTTGTTGGGGCGGGGGATGTTGGGGTTCAGGGAGTTTAGGGTTAAAGTAAAAGCCAGAAAGTGGGAATATGATTATCCTAGCCCCTTCTAGGGTAAATTAAAGGGGATCCTACCCTGAAACCATATTCCAACTTTCTGGAGTTCCCTTTTAGGGGTTTAGGGGTGTTGGGTTGCTGAGGGGGTTGTTTAGCTATAGAAACCTTGAGCGGAGACCCCCGAAGCTTGCCGCGGCCCTGCTGAAGCAAGGAATATGGGAGTTTCCGAAAACAGGGGACCCTAATATAGAATATAAGGTTCCTTTAAAGGGATCTACAAGGGTTCCTTTAAGGGTTTCTATAATGGTTTAGGGTTGGGAGTTTCCGAAAATAGGGGACCCTAATATAGTACCCCAAATAGTATTGTACTAATTATAAGGACCCCTAAATAAGGTACCCCTATTTTCGGAAACTCCCATATGGATGTCCATTGTAAGGAATCGAAGATATTGGCGCAGTCCTTGGTGAGCAACCCAGACCTTCCAAGATCCCTTAATTAAGGAATATACCTCAAATCATATTAAGGATCCTACTATAATTTAAGGGATATTCCTTAATTAAGGGATTTTGGAAGGTCTGGGAATTCCAGACTTCAGATCTTGAGCAGTCTTTTCCGGAAGAATGGTCCTTGACAAGACACATGGGGACAGACTGCTGCCTGACTTTTTTGGGCCCGAGTTGCAGCAATGCGCAGCTGCTTGGGGGATGCCAGCGCAAGAGGAAACGTGGCGCTCGCCCGTGGCTTCAACATCTGCCTCGTTTGGGAAGGAAGCTGACACTGAATGGAGACTTTGTCAGAGTTGGGTAACATTTTACAATTTTTATGGCTGCTTAAGTAGTACTTAAACCTAAAAAGAAATAAATGAAGGTGTACATTTTTAATCCTATCCCAAGCATGAACTAGGAGACTGCTTGACGTCAACCTCATCATCATTGGAAGTGGCCGGGAGGCTGAGAAGCTGCTACAGAGACGCGTGGAGGCAGGCGGACGAGCATGCCTTCTTTGGACAAGCCTTGCGCCTCAGCCGCCGGAGACCCTGAATCTACTGCATGCACCGCATGACGAGGTTCTCTTCGACATGGAAACCTTCACGTGGCAGCCGCCGGCGACCGATGTCTCAGGAGCAGAGAGTTCAGAGCTTCGCCGCCTGCGGCATCAGTTCGGCAGCGCCGACCTCGGCTTCATGCGCTGCGGTCCGGACGTGGTGGCCTTGCAAGAAGACGAGGTCTACGAACTAATCCTGGACGCCCAGAAGAACCTTGCCGGCGTGCGTGTGCTGCACGACGATGTTGTTCGATGGCAGCTCTCTGGTGCCGTCCTTTTTACAGATGCGTTAGCATCCGGCGGAATCTACATTCAACCACGACCGGACTTGCCGCATGCGAAGCAAGATAACCTTGTGTCGCCGCAGCCCAGTATGGTGTGTATCCAGCATCGCAGCACTTCGAAGCACCGCCTACCATGGAATCGCCGCAACCTGTGGAAACAGCACAGCAACATCTCACAACAGAGAAAGGTATGGTTGCTGACAGTGAATGTTGGTGTGCAGCAGGAGGAAGCCAAGCCGCAGCCGTTTCTTGACGGAGGGGGGTTGGCAATCGGAGCCTTGTGTGCTATTGCTTACATGTTTATCACAACGGTTGCAATAATTGGTGTGTACATTGGTGAAAAGGAGCTGATGCAGCATGATTTTCGAGGCTGGGACTGGTGGTGGTTCCTACCCCGCCTTATGACACTGGGTGCTCAGCTCTGGAATCAGCGCTTGGTAGAAAGCTTGCTTGGTCACCCTCAGCAAATGTGCATGGCCTTCGCATTCAACGCAGTGGCCATGTTGGTTTGGTCTTTGTGTGAGCTGCCGTTCCATATCCTCAAGCGCCCATGGCGCTTGCAGTACTTCATCGTGAATAGTGCGGGGTATGAAGTGGCTTTGTATGTGCAGTTGCTGTTGAGTTTCTTTGCAGACCGCCACTACCGCGTGCTGCCACCCTCAGCTGATTGTGGACGACCCATGCACAAGAAGCGCCAGGTGTTGTGGACTGCCTTTCTGGTCTTAATGAGTGTGGCATTGTTGGGAGCCCAGGTGATCCTCATTATCGTTTACCTGTATCTGCTGGACGCGAGCAGCATCTTAGTAGCTGACTAGCGGTTACCCTGTTGGGGCTTATAGAGTCCTACCACAATTGCACAGCTTAACCTGTTTGAGCTACCCTACAACCCTGTATTCAAATCCTATAAACTGTAAACCCCTAACCCCTGTAATCCTTACTCAGCCCCTAACCCAAAGGGTCCTATGACCGATATAGTAGAATGTAGGGTTTCCATATTAGGGGCTACTCTTATGACTTAGGAGAGTATATATCCCCCATAACAGTACATAGGACCGTTTGGGTTAGTTTGCTCTTTGAGGCTATCCAAATGCGTTTTTGTGTTGGTCTAGTATGCCACCCTGAGCCCTAAGCAAAATAACCACAGTCCTCAAAACATCCCAAGAGGTTCCCCTAAACCCTATAATCCTTACTCAGCCCCAAAGGCATACTTGCTGGCTTGTTCCTGAGTCTCAGCACCTCTGCCTCCGAGCTGTTATCGGTGAGCCTCATGGAGGCGATGTACACGAGGTCTGGGTTCCGTTAAAGGGTTTCTTCAAACGGGTTCTATAAGGGGTATAAGGGTTCCTTTAAAAGGGTTCTAGAGTTCTATTAGGGTATACTATAAGGCTTTAGTATAGGGGCCTAAAGAAGTATTGAAATCGTATAAGGAAGCCAGATTCTTTACTACATTTCTGCTGCACTAGGTTCCTTCAGGGTCCCCCAGTTGAAGCCGAATAGTAGGGAAACGGGTACCCATGAAAAAAAATAGGAAGCCAGATTTTCTTATGTGGTAAGTGAAAATTAGGTTCCTTAACTTTATAAACCTTATAAAACCCTTGTACAACCTTTCCAGGAGCTTTATAGACTATTGTAACTTAAACTCATGAGTCTTTCCCTAAACCCTTAACCCTATTGTAACCTAAACTCATGAGTCGTTCTCTAAACCCTAAACCCTAAGGCCAATTGTACCCTAAACTCATGAGTCTTCCGCAAGAACCGCAAGGTTGGTGTGGCCGCGCGCAAACGGGGATCCCTGCACTGTTTGGGGTGAGCAGCAGGTTCCGGTGAGCGCTTTGGCAGGACAGGCTCCCTGGTGCTTAGTATCAAAGGGGAAAAGGAGGGACCCTTAATGGGGACCCCTATACCCTATATAATGGGCTATATAATGGGCATATAATAGCTATATTAAGGGTATATACCTAGGGGTCCTTATTAAGGGTCCCTCCTTTTATTTCTGGATAGTAGGGAATGGGGGAATGGATTATGGTGACTATTAATTAGTGGGGACTATAAAGGGGCTACTACAGGGATCCATTCCCCCATTCCCTACTAATTGAGAACGGACTATTATTGGGGATTGTACAGGGGCTAAGTACTATAGGGATCCAATTCCCTGCTAAGAACCAGCCGCAGGATATGCTCACGCTGCTGCCGAGTCCACACGCCTCATCAGCCTTCTCAGCGCTGCATTTCGCAGCCCCACTTGGCAATGGCACTGGCTTGGTAGCTTGGTAGCCATCTTCTTGACCAACCTGGGGTATCACGTGAGCGCAGCTGCGTATGTGCTACCGACGAGGCTTCTGGCATTCCACCGACCGGGTTGCAATGCCATGGTGCACCGCCACTCCAGGGTGTCGTGTGGCTATTTCCGTTTCATCGCGGTTGGTGCCTACATGCTCTACCGGCTGGTGTGGCTTAGCACGGCTTCCGAGTTCGCGAAGCCGCTCTTCAACGACCGCGCGCTGGCCCTTTTTTTCGCAGTTTTGCTCATGGAGATCTTGGAGGACATGGTTGTGCTCCTCAGACTGCTACCCTTGGATCCGTGGCGTAGCAGCATGAAGCATGCCTATGCGCTGCTGAGCCCGTTCCATCCGAAGCAGGTCATGTGCAAGGATCACCGCGGCCTCCACCCGCACGCGGCACCACTGCGACTGCACGGCTCACGCCCAATCTCTAGGTCGGTGAGCATGGCTATCATGCAGATCGTCTGCAGTGTATGTCTCACCTTGATGTGGTTTCCTCTTGGTCAAGGCTTTTGGGTAGGAATCTGCCCCGAGCCGATGCGTCCATCCGAGAGGCTCAGCAACACAATCTGGTGGCCCCGGCCCTTGACATGTGCCTAAGGCAAGCCCTCATAGCTACCTTGTTGAAACTACAGCTTTCTAGGTCCCGAAATGAAACTCTTTTCTGATGGGTGCCATCGTAAACAGCACTTAGGCTAGTTTTTGTTGAATGGACTTTCGATGGGACCTAGTTTCGTATTTGCTTGCGTGAATCTGCCCATGGCCTCAATGCAGTTCCCAAGGGTCCTAGGTAGCTATATACTACAATGTAGGGTTTCTATACAGTAAGAATTACCATTGTAGCTTCGGGTCAGTTTCCCCATAACAGCCATCACCTCGGTCTATAGTAGGAATTGCCATCATACTGTCGGGTCAGTATCGCCTATAATTGATTAAGGAACTACCTTGGACCCTTTAGGGGTTGGAGGCAAAGGATTTTTCCAGAAGTGTGCGTCTGTCGAGGCCAAGCTTCTGAGCTGAGAACGATTTGAGTTATGCGATAGATTTTGGCGGTGTACTGTGGTACAATTGGATTAAGAAACTATGAGGAATATAAGATTTTCACTGTACTATTTGTTCAGCAATGTAGAATTGTTCAGGCTCCCAATCCGCAGAGCAATCGCACGCGGAAAAGACCGAGTGTGGTGCCTTCTTGTACTTTCCGCCAGACCGGCGATGCTAGTGGTCTCCCAGAGACTGCAACACCCTTTAATTAAGGATTGCGAATTCAATTTTGAAGGGATTCTGATCAGGATTCTGAGGTGGATTAAGGGGCTTCGGAGTTTCGGGCATGTAGGATTTGCTCCGTGCTTTCAACAGGAAGGACGCTTTTTCAACCTGACCTCCCTGTTCTGCGGTCCCAGCACGCGCATTGCATCCATCCATCCATCGATCCCTCTCTCCATAGTCCGTCCCCAGACCTTCCAAGATCCCTTAATTAAGGAATATCCCTTACATTATAGTAGGATCCTTAATATGATTTAAGGTATATTCCTTAATTAAGAGATTTTGGAAGGTCTGGGTTCGTCCATGCTCGCACGCATGCAGAAACCGTATTAGTTACATGTTATTACATATCGTGGACTACTATCCTGGTAAATCCTTGTTCTTTTTGATGTAACATGTGGCGAATACACCGGGGACCATGCTGCAGAATAATAATCATGACTTTTTCCTCCGCATGCTTCTGGTATCACTCCCTCAAGGGAGTGTTCGGGAATTGGTTTGACCTGCGGTGCAGGTCACGGCAGCAGCTGCATTCTTGCGTCCTGGCTTTGAAGTGGACATCCTTTGCTCATCTTTTACAGGCGTTTACTTGGATGCTCCCGGAGTTTTGGTTGAGTTCTACACAGATTTAGTGAGCATGCAAGAATGTTTTAAGTATAAAGGCCCTGCAGCCCTAAACCCGACACCGCGTTAGCATCTCACATAGGGGGTTCTGATTCCTAAACCCTAAATCCTGATTCGCTTGGGGCTCAGCGACTTAGCTGAATGATGCTGTACGGTTTTCGGCCGGCTACAGAACGTCAAGGTGAGCTGTGGATCCCAAAATCTACCTTTAGGTTTTAGGGGTTTAGGGTTTAGGGTTTAGGGGTTCTACCCTATAAGATGTCATCAGCTGCTATTGTGCAGGGCTTGGGGATACAGGCATGGTCAATCTAAGGGAGGCCAAGTATAGAAGCCCTCAGCCCTTTAGCAATGTGAAACTCGAAAATCTCGAAACCCCGTACTTGTGGGCCCCGAAACCCGATTCTAAGTATAGAGGCCCTTGTACTAAACCCTTGTAGTATCCCTTATTGACCCTCTAAAAGAACCCTTGACAGGAGCCCGCTGTTGAAATTATCGAGCCCCCCTTCAGCCGATCCCATAACAGGGAGCCCTGGACAACATTCGGCACGGTTTAGGGTTTAGGGTTTTTAGGGGTTAGGGTTTAGCGCTTTTAGGTTTTAGGGTTTAGGGTGTCCCGAAACCATAATAGGGATGGTTTTTCGGGAAGCTATTCCATAATGGTAGCTAGAAGCCAGAATAAAGTTGGAACAGAGCTTTAGAAGGATAAGTGCTAGGATCCCGTATAGTTTACCTTACGGGCATGAGGATAATGACATTCCAACGGTCGGGCTGATATCCACGGGTAAAAGGAGGGACCCTTGAAAAAGGACCCCGAGGTATATACCCTTAATGTAGCTGCCCAAAGGGTCCAAAGTACCGATATAGTAGAATGTAGGGTTTCTATATTAGGAATTACTATTATGATTTGGGGAAGTATTCCCCATAACAGTACATAGGACCCTTTGGGCTGTTATATACCCATTATATAGCCCATTATATTGTAGGGCCATTAAGGGTCCCTCCTTTTCCCCTTTGATTGTAGGGTTTCAGGGCTAAGGATCCAATATAGGGGTCTCGCAACAGCCACCCCCTTCGTAGTCCTTATGTAGGTTGGATTTTGGGACATTTGTTACTTTTTTTATTTGGGCTTATAAGGGGCCCTATATATAAGTAAATATTTTTCAGGGTGTTTGAAGGCCAACCCAGTTATGTAATTCCAGGCTATTCCACTACCCCCGGGGCGTGAAACACAAGGAACACTGCGCGACGGCAGAGGTTGGGTTTCCGACGAAAGCCTACCCATAGGCCCCAAAGTAGTTCCTTTTTGAAGTAATCCCTAAAAGGAACTGCTATGGGGCCTATGGGTAAACCGGGAAATCCTAAACCTCTAATTCTAAACCCAGGTCGCTGCCGATGGGAGCAGCCGTGTCCCGAGGCCAGGGCTGCATCCCAGCACACATGGCTCGGTTTAGGTTCCTCGGGTTTAAGGGTTTAGGGTCTAAATATACATAAGGATCGGATTTAGGGGGCTTTGTGGGGGGAGGGGGGGCTTATATGGTGGCTACAATCGCCATTTATCGGTGTCCTTGAACACTTGCTTGTACGGGTTACCGCGGGAGGTTCAATACAGCTTTTCGACGCTGCAGAAGGTTGTTAAATGTACGGGTTGAGGCTCCCCGAGACTCCAGTACCCCTTATCTCGGTAATGTTTCCTTAGATTCCAAAGAGCTTCTGGGGTATAGGGTTTTGGTTTGTTTTTTGTCCATGTTGTTCCTTGGTTTTGCAGTTTCTGGTTTCGTGGTCAAGAGGTCAAGTTGTACATATTGAAAGCCCACCATAGCCTGATTGTTAAGCAGGGCCTAATTTGAAACGCTGCGCGTCGTCCGCCTCGGCCCGGCTGTACGCGCATGCGGCGAGTGGCTACTATCTGCAGCAAGCTCTTGTAGGAATTCAGGTTTGAAACTCGTGTCGTCGAAAACTCCAGAAAGCTCGCACCTGTCAGCGAGCGGAGGAGGGGCGGGAGGGAAGGGGGGAGGGGGGGGGGGGGGGGGGGAGGGGGGGAGGGGGTGGAGGGGGGGGGAGGAAGGGGGGAGAGGGGGGTGAGGGGGAAATTGGGGGACTGCCTACAGAAAGCCAAAATCCACTGGAGAAGGCGAAAATTCACCGCCGGACCTTGGGGCTCGTCGATACGTTTCCATTTTTTTGGGGTTAAGAGGTGGGGAATAGAGGAAATCCGAATAGGAACCTCTGACCGAAGCGAATTAATCTAGAATTCGGCTGGACTGCACCAGCTTTATCCCTTCTGACTACTTTGTTTTCTGGTCAGGATTCTCAGACGTAATTACTCTACTTCACCCCAGAGTCTTTACCCCAACACCCACAACGTCAAAGCCTCAATCCCAAGCCTTGAAATCCCTTCGGACCCATGCAGAAGCCCTATGACACTCGTATTGCAAGTTTCTGCTAAACCCGGCAAAGCCCTTCTGAACACTCATTGAAAACGCCCTTGAGAAAAGACTGCAAAGCTCAAAACCTCTAAACCCTAAACCCAAAGACCCATCCCGTCCAGAGAAGCCAAAACCCCAGACCTTCCAAAATCCCTTAATTAAGGAATATCTCCTAAATTATAGTAGGATCCTTAATATGATTTATGGTAAATTCCTTAATTAAAGGATTTTGGAAGGTCTGGAACCTAAGCCATTCTTTTGCCATTTGCAGGCACCTCGCGGCGCAGCGTTTTCGCACCGCACCTTTCCGTGGAGGCCGCTCTTATTGCTTCAATAGTTCTGCAAGGACGGTATATTGGTTGTCTCCAACGGTAGAAGGAGGGACCCTTAATAAGGACCCCAAGGTATATACCCTTAATATAGCTACTATATGCCCATAATATAGCCCCATTATAGGGTAGCGGTCCCCATTCAGGTTCCCTCCTTTTCCCCTTTGATTGTAGTGTTCATGGATTGGAATTTCAGAGGCTTTGAGGCGGTTTTATGGGCTTTTGATCTGGAGGTCTCACCCTGGCTTAGGGGTTCTTTATCGGCTTTTTGGAGTTGGTTAAAGCACTTTATAGAGTTTGCAAGGGTTCGTAAGCTTTATGAATATATATATATATATATATATATGTATGTATAGGTGGGTCCATAGCGGCTGCAAGGATTAGGATAACCCTAAACCCTCAACCCTAATTTATCAAAGGGGAGAAGGAGGGACCCTTAATGGGGACCCTTGTATCGGGTTCCTTAAAAGGATCTAAAAGGATTCTATAAAGGGTTTAGGGTTTAGGGTATTGGGATGGCTTTACGCATTCGGTGTTTGATGTGCATGACTCTATAGAGTCCGAGAGGTTCCAAATAACACTGAACCCCAAACCTTATGCTATAGTCTCCTTAAGAGTTAGTTCATATAAACCCAAGAGAATATTAAAAACATAGTTTTTGTTATGGTTCTAAGGGGGGTATAGTATAAACCCCAGATCCTAAGCCCTGAACCCTGAAGACCCTGCCTTTTCAGGGTTCCGTATTATGGTGTCCTTACATAAGGCCCTTAAGAAGGTAGGTTTTTTGGCTGGTTAAGGTAAGCCCTGAACCTAAAACCCCAAAACGTACGCCCAAGGAAGATCCTAGACCCTAAACTCACAGGGGTAAAGGAGGGACCCTCAATGGGGACCCCTACCCTATATTGGGCTATATGAGGGGTATATAGTGGCGATATTAAGGGTATATGTCCAGGGG